TGTTCATGATTTACTTTATGAAGCAAAAAATCCCCCCAAATACACATCGTTATGAATACAAGATGTAACTGTAAGAAATTTCCATATGAAGGCATGAAAAAATAGTATGAAGAACATTTCCCTATATTTATGTTTTTCCATATTAAAAAATCAATTGAAGTGAGTTTTTATATGACGGAATCAGAAAGGGTCAATTCATTCCCTCTCTTTAGTTGTCACTGAGGGGCCTGTTTTCGCAGCACTGAAGAAGTGATTTAAACAATAGAGGATATAATGGTATTGTCATACATTTCTTCCTTTTTAAATACGCTCCCTTATTTAAAAGTTACTTGCATGGCAGACTGTTTTGGAGCTAGAGTTTTCTAATACAACTCAGCTAGCTGAAGATAAGTTTGAGCTTGTGCAACATGTAGTTTTGATATAAAAAGTCACAGATTTTTTCTAGGGTATCTTATCGAAACCTATGCACTAGGGAACATACGATAATTCTACTTAAAGTGAAACCCTTGTATATAATTTTAACTAGCATCTTTAATGCAATGAATCATTTTATTACTATAACCAGTAACTAGTTATGTAGCAAATGCTTCAATTACAACAAATTCTGCTACTGAAGAAACTTCAAGCTGAACCATCAGAATATAGCAGGAATCTATCTCATGATGAAACTACAGTGATTTCTTAAACAAATAAAGGCTTTCAACAACAAATAGTTTTTCAACAATCTTAATTTACAAAGATATTTTGCATGCTTCTTTTAAAAAAGGGAAAAAATAATGAAGAGGGTAAAAGATAATGGATCTTTTTACACGTCTGTTACTGTGAAGTGTTACTGAGTAGAATTTTTTTTTATGTTTGTAGACATGAAATAGTTTAACTCTTCAGTTGTAATCCTAAAATTCCCAAATACTGTTTTCTGTACTGTGTAGGAAATATAACAGTGGGTTAAAAATGGCACCCTACAAAACCTGCAGGGAATTTGTCCAAGGAACATGATCAGTGATACTCTTAAATTTGGGCATAGCAATGTGATAGCAGACATCATTCAAATAAACACTTAAATGCTGTGTATATAGTTATTTCCTCTTCTTGGTTAAGCATAACCTGGAAAGTTTTCCTGTACACGTAATCTTTACTGTAACTATTGTTTAGCAGTGTAAAGAGTAGTTCTCTGTACAGGCTCCCTTGCAAAGCAAGAATATTTGAAATTTTGCCATGCAGCATTCAAAAACACGTGATTATCAAGCAAAATTCAGCAACCTTATGCAGAGATTCAAGTGACTTCCTGGGTGGGGTTTGTTTGGGTTTGTATGTGTATGCTAACTGATGAGCAATGCACCTACCCAAAATGTCCACCTTCTGTTCAGAGAAGGAAAATAATTTCTTTTCTATGTACCTCAGTGGTTCTGAAAACTGCACACTACCATTGCATTCTGCATGAAGAAGTTTTAGAGCAGGAAGCCATCTTCTGAGAGCATGTGAGATCCACTGCTGCCATTGCAGCAACACAATACGTGATGGGGAGGGACTGTAAAGAGGAGGGGAACTCTTGCTTTAGTGTTTATGTTGCTTCAGATCTTTGTTAAGAATGCCTGCACAGCCAGCTCATTGTCACTGTTGAAGAACATGAATAGTTGTAAAAATAGGCATCATAAGGCTAGATAGATGGGAACTGAGGATAGTCCATATTTGTATTGCACTTCCTTACTGTTTGAAACAGAGAGAACAAAATAGCATATGAATCTACAGTCTCTTTACACAAAGCAAACAAGAGTAGTTTTTTTAGAACCTTTACACCACTTTTTGACAACAAAATGTGTAGAAGGTCACAGGAGATAGGAAGCTTCCTGGATGTACCTGAGTTCATGAAAGAACTAGAGCCAGTATAACTTCTGATAAGGTAATTCCATGAAGCATTCCAAGATTATCAGAAGAGTTGCACTGTATCATAAAAAAAAAAAATGCAGGTAGAATATAGCATGCAGAGGCAGTTTTCCAGCTCCTCCCACTGTAGCACGCAAGAGACACGGTTATAGTTAACTTTGGATAATCAACCACTGTAAAACAGAATGGAAAGCTTGTACATTTGAGCAGCTTTTTCAGTGTTTTTGCTCTGAATGATGAGGGTCTCGGAACCAATACTAGACATGGAAATGGCAAACTACAGTGAAGTTTTAGATCCTGCGTACACCGCACTGGAGTTTGAAACTATGCAGATTCTGTACAATGGCAATGGTGAGTTCTGCTCCATGATGCAAAATCATGCCAGTTAGTGGGAAGTGTGAATTTTATTAATGTTTTAAGATGTTAGCAAAATGTTTTATTAATGGCAGATTTGGTGATTGTTTTCAAACTACAGATCATCACTTCACTGTTAACTCTAAGTTAATGACGTTATAATTCTTTAACATTAAGGAAAATAAAAGAGTGGTTATATGTAATAAAATAACTGAACTGTACTGTCATCATTCAGTTAATCAAAGGAAGAAAATGGTGTATTCAGCAGTTGTTTTATTTACTGTAAGACAAATGAATAACTAGTATTGACAGTTGGGACATGAAAGTAAATGTTATATATAGCATTCAGAAGGACACGACAAGATTATCCAGAGGTTTGTGGAAAAAAAAATAGCTACTGCTTCTCGATGCCTAGTTTCTATTTGTGGGACATTTTATTCATTTAAATGTTAAAATAATCATTCTAAATATGTGTATATATGAATGAGGGTGATTTTTTAAAAATCATGTTGGCTCTCTACAGGCTAATGTTTAGCTGAGGAAAACTACTGGCATAAATTATTGGCTAATGCAGCATTTTAACTTCAGTTAGATTTTTTATTTATTTATTTTTGTGAGAAATTGTACCAATTGTACCAGTGCTTGGAATAGGAAGCACACAATTTCATTCTGCCATCTTTTTGCATTGAACAAAAATGGGTAGTTTCAGTCTATTAAAGTGAAGAAAAATATCAAGTGAATTAAACTCCCCTAAAGTGTCTTTCCAAATCTTTTGATATATTTGAGAATTAGTTTTAGTTGTATTTCTAATACAGATATAGTATTTATGAAATATTTATGAAATATATTGAAATGCAGAACAAATACTTAGTGATTTGCAGGAAAAATACTAAGCACACTCCATTTCCCATGTCAATGTATTCTTTCAATATAGAATCAAAGTTAATTTTTATTACTGGATTTGAATTTTTATTTGAATTTCTAGTATTACTTTACAACCAGCTCAGTAAACAGAAAAGTAGATTTTATTATTGATTTAGGAAGAAAAACAGACCTTCACTGCCTAAATGATTTTGAAGCTATCAACAATGATTATGTAAGTTTTAGAGGATTTATCTGATTTTCCTTTTACTATGGATGATTTCATTGGTCATTTGTTTTTTGCTGAATCTCATTTTTTCTGATCTGTTAATGTTACACAGAATGGGAAAGTTGATTAGGGAGGTTATGCTGTGTTGTGTGTTAGTGATCCAGTTAGTTAAATTATTCACTGTAAATGATTACTTTGACAACTATTTTTTACTAAATTAGTCCTTTTTTTCTTCAGAGTTTTCTTTGAGGTTAGGCTAAGTATTTTCTGATAGAATTAATAAAAAAGGTTGACTTCCATCTACAGTGCTAGGTTGGATCTGAGAGCTGCCTTTCTGAATTTTCAGATGTGTATTTTCAAAACTTCTAAGTTCATTAAAACTATTCAGAGAAATTTAACTATCCACATTCAGACAGGTTGTACAGTTCTGTTGAACAAACTGCAAAATCAAGTCAATTTCCCAGACATTTTCTTTCAGAGTATTACCCAAAGAAAACAAGTATCTCCATACATATGAATGCATGTGCATAAACACAGACACAAGGAGATACAAGTCATACTGCTATGAAATATTTCATCATTACGTTTAAATATTTTAATTATTTGGATATGTCCTGATCCAAAATCACTAAAGTCTGAAGTAAAGCTTTTATACTTTTCAAATGAAGCTACCCTGTAGACTATTTTTTAAAATAATTTTTTGGTCATAACAAACCCAATTTTAAAACAGTAAATTCTTCAGGGAACTGAATTCTTACCTTTTTATTTTTATTTGAACATTTTAAAATGTGATTCTAATCAACTGTATCTCTGTACAGAAAAAGTTAATGCTAATTTTTTCTTTGTCTAAAGAATTCTATTTACATTGTAAATTCCTTAGGGAATAAGCAAAATTTTATTGTATTTTCGCAAGACACATTTCAGATGCCTCTTCTACAATATAAATGATGTTTATCAACATTAACAGTTCTGCTTTTCAACATTTTTACTCTTCATGAACTCGTATTTCTTAATGCAAGCTTGAATATTTAAGTAATGTTAACCTCTTTTCTTTGAATAACTACAAAAGTTTAATGGATACTGAGGTTTTCCTTCCATAAGAACAGAAGCGTACTCAGAAAAAGATCTATATTCAGAAAATGTGTCTGTTAAGCCTTGTGATTCAAAGGATAATAAACATAGCTATTCTGATTTTATATGAATTCAGTATTGTTTTCCATGTTCAATGATTAAATGTTAAGCATATTTAGATAATGTTCTCTCACAACTTTTAAGTCAATCTTCCTTTGAAAAAATTGTTTAAGGAAGTAGAACTACTAAGCTATGCTAAGAGGACTCTCTTAGCATTCTTTCCTTAAGTCTATTGTATTTTTTTTTAAATATAATTGATTTTTTCATTGATAGTCAACAGTTACTGCCATCTCTTAATAGATGTGGTATGTGATGTCTTTGCCAGCTATCCATGTAATGTTGCTTTATGCCAAAGTTTCTCCTCTTGTTAGTTAGTATACATATAATTAGACATATATGTATTTAGAATACATGTAATTAGACCTGCAAGGTTACATTTACTTTATAACCCCTTTCAGTTGGAAACAGTTTGGAATAAAAATTATTTGCTGTTGAGAACTTGTTGTCCATAACTATATATGTTGTTCTTCTCTCTTTTCAGACAGTTCTGGAGAAACTCTCAACATGAATGCTACTGACAGCGGGATCAGCAGTCTCTGTGCAATATGTGGAGACCGAGCAACTGGAAAACATTATGGTGCTTCCAGTTGTGATGGATGCAAAGGATTCTTTAGACGCAGTATACGGAAAAATCATGTTTATACATGCAGGTATTTAAAAAGTTAATCTAGAGGCACTAAATTAATGAGTGTATGCAAACATTACTTTCAGACATTTTCAGAATTTTCAGACATACATAGGGGTATTTTCAGCTGCTTTTGAAGGAATTCTAAACAGCACTTCTGATGGAGCTTGCAAGGATGTTATGTTCCTATAATGTGGAAAAAAATCCCTTTCATTTAAGTCTCATGAATTGGACCACCTATAAACGGCTTCTCTGATATGGAATCTTTGTAGCACTATATATGCTCCTAAAGACAACATATTAAGTTAGCTTTTAAGACCTCATGAGAGTATTCTATTCATTGATGGTTTTTTTTTTACTTGTAGGACTTGCAGACAAAATGCTAAGAATGAAGTTACCAACAATTTAATGGGCATCAAGACAGCACTTTTTGAAAGTCTAACTTTAATTATCAAAGCTGGGCTAAATGTTTTAAATGTTTTATATCAGTTGTTTTTTCATTGTTGTTGTTTTTGTTTTTCCTATGAATTAACTTGGTATCACTACCGGAACAAAAAATGTTTATACAAGTATAGATACTCAGGTATCTTTTTATTAGGGAAGATCTGTTCTGTTAGAGTTTCCACGTGTCCATTGATGTGGTTGATGTCCTTGTATTACTGAAGTGCAGTCTTGGTCTTTTATTTATGATTACAAAGAATAATAGAAACATAGAACAGCTAAAGTTGGAAGGGACCTCTAGAGGTTATCTGGTCTAACCTCTTTGCTCAAGCAGGGACACCTAGACCAGAGTGCCCATGACCATATCCAGAGAGACAACCCCTGAAAACAAAACAAAACAAAACAAGAAGAAAGAAAATGAAAAAAAAAAATAATCTTGTATTTTCACTGGAAAGTGTGATTCTTAACTGATTTTTAATTTTGATTTTAAAATTGTTCTCTGCTAAGGCAGTTTCTGTACAAAAACTAAAATTTATGAGTTTTTTTAAAGACAGACCAAGTATATAACACATCTTCCCACTTCAGTTGTGCACTGCTCTTTTAGTGACTATTACCCTCCTTGTCAGTCTGAACGGCAACCTGTTAACTTTTCTGTGCCTAGCTGCCCAAATTGTCATTCTGCAGCTATGTGTACCATGTTTGAGGAATTGCTCTGTGCATGCCTGAGTCCTTAAGATGTCAGTTTTAAGCCATGCACAGAATATATTTGTGAGTTTAGACAGATAGATAAAACTGAAAACTTTCTTCGTAGCGTTGTTGCTGGAAATGTTGTTTGCTCCACTCTTCCTTAGATACTTAGCATTCTAATTGTGGATGTATGATCATAGAATGCTTCTAAAATGGTGTAATAAGAGCTGTAGCTGAGTCCGAGTAGAGCTCTGAAGAGGATAGATCTATTTATCTAACACATACCAAAAAAAAAAAAAAAAAAAAAAAAAAAAGGCAAAAGCAAATGGAGAGGAGGGGCTGCCTCATATACATTTTCCTTAGGAACATCTGTGGATGTGCATGAGAGCCAGAAAAACTTTCTTGCAGTGTCACACTCTGTGTGTTTCCGCATCTTTATTGCGGTATTCAGGTTTTTTTTCCTCCTATTTCCTGTTTGATTTCTCACCTATAATGATATTACAGGTAACTTGTTCATTTGTTAGCTCCCAGAAGTAAACTTTGCCAACCAAAGGTACCGGTTTTGCAGGAGTGGGTGGGCTGCTCTGTGCTGGTGACAGTTGATATTTTCATCAAGTATCCTATCCTTCTTCTATTAGTAGCATTTCATCCCAACCCTTTCTGCGTAGGCAGCATTTGCATATCTCACAATAAAGCATAACTCAAAAATATTCCATTCTTGCCCATTCTAATACGTATTTTATACATAGATACACACATGTGCTTGCAAAATAAGGAGGTATGAAATCTCTCAAGACTGACTGACAGGAAAAAAAAAAAACTGCAGAAGAAATTCTGTGGTCATAGACATAATTCTGAGAGCACAAATTAATTAGTTCTCCTCTTCAAAGCCAGAGTGGTGCTTTATTAATGCATTGTATGTTTACCTTATTTTGTCTCTGATAGATTCAGCCGGCAATGTGTTGTTGACAAGGACAAAAGGAATCAGTGCAGATATTGTCGTTTAAAAAAATGTTTTCGAGCAGGAATGAAAAAAGAAGGTAATAGACTCGTTTGTTACTTGACATGCTTAAAGTAATAGAATCTAAGTTTAAAGATTTTATCAAAATTCCAAATTTAATTAAAATTCAAAAAAAAATTAATAGCAGAATAATTAAATGGAAAATCTGGCAGCTATACTGCCTGCATGATGGAGATTTTTACTGAGGTGAAGTATGTATCATCTAATTTTCAGGTGGGTAAGCAGTTTTAATACTTTGGGCATTATCAAGCATGACTGGTTTCAAGTGAATCTCAACTGCTTAATCCATGAATCCTGGCACCAAAATTCATTGCTTTCTAAGTGCCATATGCCTGGAAAAAATTCAAAGCACAGAATTTCAGTTCTGATTTATAATTTTTTCCAAATTTCAATCATAAAATGCATGTTTTGCATTGTGTTTCTATACCCTACCTGAGCTACAGGGCTGACTTGCTTATTGTTCCCTTCATTTTAAGTGTTTGAAACTCTTAAGGAAGAAGTGTGAGGTAACTGTGGTAACTGTTAGTGGAGTGTCAACAATCAGGAATATTTCCAATCTCACTGGGACTTAATATGTGTACGTGAGATATACTTGTATATATGTGAGAAAAGATACTTATGCATCTACCTCAAAAAATGTGAAGAAACATGGATCTTCTGGTGATCTTGAGGACATGGAGAGAGAAAGTCAGTAGGCATATCAGAGAATTTTTATACCAAGTTGTTGGGCTTGTTGCTTCACTTTCAGTTATAATGTAGTGGCAAAAGGCATCCTGATCTGGTTCAAATAAGCAGTCAGAGATGATTATTTCATTGCAAAATTTGTGTTTTTTGTGATGCTCTTTGCAACCTGTTTTATTTGGAATATGATATGTCATCTGGAAGGCCAGTCTGCAGTGGAAGTGCATGACTGTCCTGTAACTAGACTGTATCATGATAGTTTTAGTCTAGACATTGCTCTCCTAAAATAAAAGAAGCTGTTTCTTTATGCTTTTAAGTATCTGTAGTATCATATTGCTTTGCTTGTATTCGAGTTATAGTATGAGATAACAGGAATTTTTTCCTTGTAAGTACAGACAAACAGTCTAACTAAACAGGTAGTATTGTGCTTGAATGAAATAGGTTTGATATTTTTGTGGAACACAGTTTAGTCTTCTGGAATTTGAACCATTAAAGTCAGTAACATGTTGATTATGTATATGACATAGAAAAAAAAAGGAAGACCTTCGTATACATAGCAACCCTAGAACTTCTGCAAAAAGCAACGCTTTGTAGACGTTCAAAAATGGGAAATAAAGAACATTTTAGCTAAGAAGGGGCATCTGGAAGTCATCTGGCCCAGGCCCCTATTTAAAACAGGTAATTTCTAGGTTCAGTCAAGTTGCTAAGAACTCTATCCAGCCAGGTTTAGATAGTCCCGAAGAGAGGGCATTTCTCAATCTCTGTCAGCAACTTTTTCCACTGCTTGACCGCCCTCACTGTGAAGATTTTCTTTGTAATATCTAACTAGAATGTCTCATTTTGCAGTTAGTGTAGTCTCTATTGCCTTGGCCTTTCACTACACATGTGAGAAGGATCTGGGTCTACTGAAATTAGACCACCTCCACCTTGGTCCTCTTTTTCCTATAAAATCAAATACTCTGCTTCACCTTGGACATCATGTGGATTACAGCAGCATAGCCCTTCACTAGGCCCAGTTTTCCAGTGTTTCTTGCACACTGGGTAGCCCACTGCGCAGTTAGCTAATGTGAACACAGGGCATATTGCTGACTCGTGTTGTAACTGAAAATATATATCCTGTTCAGAATTTTAATCTCATTTACACTATTCTGCCTCTTTCAGTTCCACTACCTATAAGGCTTCCATTTTTCCCCATATCCAAGTCATGTTTATTCAAGGCTTCCCAGCAGTAAAATAATTCAAGAGACTGAACTGTAGACTTCACTGCTCATATGCTGTTATGGACCTCTCTCTACACAATCAGATTATCTCTTATAGCATAAGTGTAGCATGGTTTGTATGATATATTCTTAGCTTGATTCCAGGAAATCACTTTCTTTCCTTCAAGGCAAAGATGAAAAGGGCTTCAGCTGGTAGAGGCTATACAAGCCCTCTTTGAGCAAATATTCCCCCTTCATTACAGTGTCTGAACAAAGGGTCTACAAAGATAGACAATTCAGTACATCTGAAAGTGTGTATTCCCAAGAAATAATTTACCTATCATTCCCAAGTGCTCTGCTAGTGACTTTCACTAGTGATTGGCAGAACAGCTTACTATTTTAATATTAGTTACTATTTACATTATTTTAATTAGCTATGTGACACTAAGCTTCTGAGATTAAAAGTGAGTGTTTTTTCTCCATTTTTTTTTTTAAAAAGCTATGTTTTTTGTCTCAGTTCTTCAGGCATATTTAGCACTTTGTATTTATCACTGCGCAACATTTCTTATTGTGACTTTAATAAAAGGCCCATCATTGAATGTCCTTGGCAAAAAGCTACTGCTCCTCAGGAATAAACTATGTGCATTGTTCAGATAAACCCTGAAAACTATTCAGTTATTTATTTATTTATTTACTTACTTTTTTTTATTGAAGCCTTTGGAGCTGCTCACAAAACAGCAAACATATCTTTGGAAATAAAGCTGCTGCTCTTAAAAGATTATGAGATTCCTTGTGCAGTAAAAAATATTTTGATCAGTATAATTCTTTTTTTTTTTTTTTTTCCTGGCCTAACCTTGGACATGCTCTAGGTTATAGAAGTATCTGATTGATAGTTTTATTTTTCATTCTTCCTTGAATTCAGAGGTAAGCCTTGTTGCTTCATAAGCCTTGCATGCACTGATTAAGGATTCTCTATTTAAAGTCCTTTCAACTACCTTTTTTTGTCCCCCCATGGGACAAAAGATACCTTCCTGGAACCTTTTTGGTGCTTTTCTGTTCTTTAATTTCTTACTTAGTTAATGTTCTGTAAACTGGCTAGAAATTCGTTGTCGAAGTATTATATTTAAGTCTCAAAATTATTTTACTAGAATATTTAGTTCATTTTCCATTGCTGTATCAAGGTTTCTTGCAGGAAACTACCTCTCACTCAGACATTTTTCACGGTGCTGTACCTCTTGACCCATTCAGCAGTACTGAGATGTCCATTTCTGTCACTATCAGAAAGGTTCATTTATTGAAGTTCAGTTTCTAGCTACAGTTGGTTGTATTAAGTTTTATAGGCAAACATCATAATGTGGATAAGGACCATGAACATGTACTGTCATTCTTTCTCATTAGTTAGAGCTGAAAGCACAAAGTTTTTTGAATGCCATTCTTCTTATAATTATCTAGTAAGCCTCTGTAATGATATTGTGTGGCAATTTTTACAAGTCAATAAATGAGACAATTATTCTCTTCCAGCTGTACAAAATGAACGGGACAGGATAAGTACAAGAAGAAATACTTTTGATGGCTGCAACATTCCCTCTATTAGCACATTGTCACAAGCTGAGACACTTTCCCGTCAGGTACTGATATCTTCCATAAATTTCTTTAATAGACTTCAAGAAAATATTTTCTGTGGTTAAATACTTTCAGATTCTCATTGTATTCAATGTAATTTTAAAGATTACTTTCTTCCTACTTCCAAAATATACCCAGTTTCCTCTTTCCAATAAAGAATCAGCAACAGAATTCATTCTTAAAGCAAAGTCAATATAAAATTTCTACTTTGTCCTGGACAATATGTCCTAGGCGCCTTTCTTAATAAAGCTTTATGGTTCTTACTGCTTTTAAATCAGTTGCTGTCTCAGGCAGCTGGTGGCACCTATCTATTCTTGAGGCTTGCTTTCATATGAAACATTAGTGAAAAAATTGTCGAAACCCATTAAATTTCTAATGGGTGTGAACACTCATTTCCTTACATTCTTTTGAAAATCCCATTTTCAGTATCCTTAAGTATTATAAATAAGGCAAACAGAAGTGTTCCAACTGCAAACTCTTTTCTCAGCTTTCTTTTAAATTTTCTTTGTCTCATCTGAACTTCATTTTCTTTTTCTTTCTTCTTTTTTTTTTTCCTATTCAATCAATTGCTGAATGGAACAGTCTCCAGCCCTTTTCTGCAACTGAGATAAATCATGGTCGTTGATTCTGCATTCTTGCACCTCTTGCTAACTTAGAATTTAACTGCCACCTTTATGATTTCATGTTGACTGATTTATACATCCCCAAATGTTTTGTAATCTCATCCTTTATCAGCATCTCTCTTAGAGTGGAACTGTCTGCAGAGAATTGATGCAGGAATTGCTGGGTGATAGTCTTTGGCAGATATTGCATGTCTGGGTAGATGAACATAATGGACCTTCCTACCTTTCATAGCTATGCAGTATGAAAAATATACCTATTTTACCTCCTTAGTAATTCTTTGAACTTGCTTATTATGCTTTTTAGTATGTGCATGTGTGTGTCAGTCCCTTAATCATTTCCAACTGACTCATGCAGTTCAGGAATAAGAGCTTTCTTAAAGAGAATCACATCCTCAGTCTTTTCTGCCACTAAGTTCTTGTCAGCTGGTAGATTCCTGTCCTAAGACACCTCCTTGTGAATTCACACAAAAATTTATTATTCTTATTGTTTGGTATGGTGTAGTAAAAGAGAATTGTTTCCAATATGCCAAACCTTAAAGGCCAAGAGGTTATTTTAATGTGATGGAAAAGCCAAGTTCTGGAGGTCTTTTTGCCTCAGTTGAATGGGCCTGTAATAGTTCAGTCCTGAGAAGGGATTTCAAGAGTTTGTTAGTGTCATACATCATACAATGGAATCATAGCAAGTCTTGGGCTGAAAGGTCCTTTAAAGACCATCTAGTTACAATTCCCCTGCTCTGGAAAGAGTTGCCACCCACCAGATCAAGGACCCTGGCCTTGGTCACCTTCAGGGATGGGGCTTCCACAGCTTCACTGGACAACCTGTTGCACTGCCATACCATGCTTAAAGTAATTTCCTCCTAACATTTAACCTAAATCTCCCTTCTTTTAGTTTAAAACTGTTCCCCATAGTCCTATCATAGTCAGACTGTATAAAAAGTTGGTCTCCCTCCTGTTAATAAACTCCCTTTAAGTACTGGAAGGCCACAGTGAAGTCTCCCTGGACAAGCCCAGCTACCTCAGTCTTTCTCCGTAAGAGAGGTGCTCCAGCCCTCTCATCATCCTCATGGCTCTCCTCTGGACTCTCAACAGCTCCACATCTTTTTTGTGCTAGGTTCCTCATGCTTGGATGTAGTACTCCCAATGGGGACTCATGAGGGTGGACAATCACTTTCCTTGCCCTGCTGGCCACCCCTACTTTGATGCAGCCCAGGATACTGCTGGCTTTCTGGGCTGTAAGTGCACATTGCTTGCTTGTGTAAAACTTTTTGTCTACCACAACCCCCAAGTCCAGTACTTGGTCAAGTATTTGAGCTTTGAAAATGAGGAAGAAGGTGTCATTCTTTCATTTTTCAGATTTCATATTAAAATGGGAAAAATGATCTATTTCATCCCCAAGGATTGTTTGTGAGGATAAATCGTGCAATTCTCCCACAGATTGAAGGTCTTGGATTGCATAAATGTGTAAGGAAGATGCTTTACTCTCAATAAAGATATGTCACTGACATTCCTCAGGACTATAGGCATGTAGTGTTATGTTGTTTTGTTCATCAAGCTGGTGACACCCATATTTCAACCCAGAGGAGCAATGGAGAAAGAGGAAAATTGTCTTTTTTATTTCTTTGTTAAGACATGCAGTCCTAGGCGTTCATAATGAATCCCCTGCAGAGGTTCACCAAGTAATTTCAGCACTCAGTCCATAATCTTGTAGTTTATCAAGTTGTATAGCAAAAGATATTAAAGGATGAAGTGTGTTTCAAGTTCATGAGTCATTATGTGTAATGATTAAAGAACCTGCATGTTCTTTTCCCTCTTGAACTAACTCCTAGTTGGTGAATGGTGATATATCTATTTTTCTGATAGATCAGAGAGCCTCCTGCTATGAGAATTTTCTTCCCGGTGTAGATTTTTTTGTCTGACAATCAAGACTTTTCTGGAAAGAATGAAATACATTGAATTTCATTATTCTCTTTCTGGTTTTTGTTTTTTTCTAGACTAAATTATTCTACTAGATCCTACCTACCTAAACAATACTCAGTATTTTTTTCAACTTTGTTTCTGTAGAACAGATGCCAGAAATAGACTTGTGTTTACAGCAAGGATTTCACAAATGGTCTGCCTGCAAAGAGACAATATCTCTGCCTCTTTTCCTACATCACTGCCTTTGAATTATCTCTGAGGACTTTATTTTAATCTCATTGACTGCTGTATTCTCCCAAGAACTGACGTTCGGATGGTTAACTGCCATTACTATCTAAGCTGTTTTCAGTGTTTTAAGCTACTGAATTATGTAGGAAGTGCTGGGCTTTAGTTCAGAAGTGCGACTCCCTTTGACCATCTAACGATAATGGGATTTCACCATGGGTCCCAATGGGTGATTAAACACAGATCTGAGAATGAGGAGGATATGGCAGAAGTCAACCTAAATAAGATCCACAATCCTGAAAATTGTAACTGCAAAAAAATCAAACAGTTTATTGTTATTTATTTTTTTTTAGGGATTGAAGTGGGGAAATAGCAGAGGGGTTACAGGAATAATCAAATCTCAAGATTTGAATATCCTTTCTTAAGTAAAATGTAAAGTGAAACTGTTTCAATGGTCTCATACGTTACTTTGTTCTGTCCCTATTTTAACTTAAGAAGTTAGTAACGCTTTTCACTGGAAGAATTTGCTACGCATTTTCTCTTTCTTTCTTTGCCTTTCATTTTATTGCATATAAACTCTTTCTTTTTTCTAAAAAGAGATAAATTACAGCAATTTTAAAGGAAAAAAATTCAAAACCTGAACCTAAACAAAACAAAACCCTCCTGTTTACAGACAGTGGAGGCTTTAGAATTTTTACAAGTAGTATTTTGGAGGGAGGAGATATTGTACCATGATATGAATAGCTGTAATAAATGTGAAATTAAGTTTTATAATTTTTGTGCAGACTGTTCTGTCTGTATTGTCTATATAGTCAAGAAATTGCTTAAGAGTATGTGATAACTGCTGTCATTTTTTTTTTTTTTTTAAGTTTGCTTTGAAAATGCAACTATATGAAATTCAACATTATTAATTTTTTTCTTTTAATATGTCCAGATCTCAATCTCCAGTCCTGGTGCAAGCACTGACATAAATGCTAAGAAAATTGCTGGTATTAGTGACGTCTGTGAATCTATGAAGCAGCAACTTCTGGTCCTGGTGGAATGGGCTAAATATATTCCTGGCTTCTGTGAATTACCACTGGATGACCAGGTACAAGAAAAGACCAAAGGGAGAACATTATAACTGTCTTTTTCTTTCTGTAATATTTTAATTATATGAGAAAACAATAATGCAGTGTCTGATCAAATACAGCTTGATACTACATGCCTGATATTAAAACTTTTTTTTTTTTTTTCTTTTTTTAAATTTTGGAAGTAACACCACCATGGAAAAATAGAAGGATATGATATGGCTCTAGCCTGCTAAAAGAAAGAATCACTTCTTCAGCAAACTAGTAGTCATTTAGTGTTTTGTGCTTTCTTTTGGAAAGCAGAAATACCAAGATGAATGCAGAAATGAAAAAAACATTGTAAAAAATCGTGATTTTTTCTGATCTTCCAAAGTATTTATTTTATGTCCATCTTTCATTGTAATATAGTTTAAGGCCGCCTGTTATTTAATTTAAAGCAGATTTTCTCTGCTTTCAAAAAATAAAAGCCATAAGAATCTTGAGCAAATGCCAAACACGTGCTGATGTCACTCTGTAGCAAGTAATATTTCATATGATATAATGTACTCAAATTATATTGTAAATAACAAAAGTGTAGAGAAAAAAAATCATCAAAACGTGAAGGGTTCTTCAGGGTCTTCATTACAGAGGTCTGTCTTATCATCTCATTTGTAATGCAGCTAATGTTTAGTGATTTTCAAAGCCAACCATGTTGGCACACACAGAATAAGTGTCTTCATGTTGTGGTAGGCTTGTGGTCTTGTCACCAACTTCCTGCATAGATTAATTCATGGCTCGGGTTCTCAGTGATGTCTGATTTAGCTTGAAAATTACTTTGAGAAGTGAAATTGAGCAATTCCTCTTTTTCTTTTTTTTTTCTTTTTTCTCTTTAGTCTTTCAGTTTTTAACAAAGTTTCCTTAAGAAGATTAGATAATTTGGTTTGAAATTAAAACTGAGTCCTTTTATACGCTTTCTCAGAAATACAGAGTTGGTTCAGACACAGAGGATAAGCCCCCACACTAGTACTTTGCTATGTGTGCAGACCCATGGAATATTATATATATGCACAACCTCAACAGACAAATTAAAAATCTGTAAAAGAAAGAGAAATGTAGTGTTAGATCTTTAAATACAGTGTTCTACAAAATCACTGGAAGCAAGCAAAAAACAAGTTGCTAAGATGACATGAAAATATGGAAAGGATCAGATGTCAGTAAGAAGTTACTGTCTTTACTTAAATGAAAAAAGTCATCAGTACAGATAGATAAGTTAAGGCTGAGAATGCGCTACTTCAAGAGTGCATATTTGGGAAATATTCCTGAACTTTGAATACCTTCGAAAATTAATGACAAAGGTATTGGGAGTTAAAATAAATGTCAATTTATTTATTTATTTATTTATTTATTATTTTTGTGATTACTTCTTTTTAACGTGCATTGTGTGTTTATTTATCACATTAATCATCTGGTTTGTGATGAATGATTCCTGATCTTGGAATCAGACCGTGGAACAGCCAATCTGGATGAGTCAACTCTACTGAGATACATTAAGTATTCCTAGGTTTACATCACCCATAAAGAATGGGCTTGGCTTCATAAGGAAATGCTTGCACAGAGAGAAATGTTGTGAGTTAACAGAGGTCAATGCTGAAGCTTCAAGGAGATTTTAAAAGGGAAAGTAAATAGGTGACAAAGAGTAAACTAATGATCACATTTTGTACCACCTTCCTGCTAGGAATCAAGTTTCTTCATTGTTTACTGTAGTGTATATTTTAGCATATCTGTGTTAGGGAAAAAGCTCTTTTATGTAACGCATACAATTTTGATGACAAAAATCAAGGAGTGACAATGAAGAATTTACTATTATGGTTCATTCCAGCCCACTGGAGTCTTTGACACCAACCTAAAATTTTAGAGCAAAATTTGTTAATGAAATAAAGGCAAGGAAATAAATAGAAGAACTGTACTGACTTATATGTTTAAGATCATCCCCAACTGGTAGAAGTGGCAAGGAATGATAATTTCATTATAATATTATAATTATAAATTATAAATTCGGTGTTATACAGTGGAAGGTTTTTATATTTATTTGACATTTTACCATATGACCTTACAGTACATGTAGCTAAAAGTACTCATGTTAATACGCATGGTAATTCATTTTGCCCTCTCTTGGAAGTTACTGCTTTATTTTCTAATGAGTCTGCTATTTTCTTTAAGGTTGCACTGCTGAGAGCACATGCTGGGGAACACCTGTTGCTTGGAGCAGCAAAACGGTCCATGGCGTATAAGGACATTTTACTTTTAGGTAAATATTGGTTTTATTTCAATTAATAATGATGATGATATAGTACACTAGCAACCACGTAGTCATTTAAGTGGGACAACTGTTGTGACATAATCAAAGCAATGAATGCTGTAAATGCTAAATAGCTATTAAAGGTATAATGTCATCTGCCCTGTTCCAGCAAAAGCAGAATACCAGAGGCCACAATTAAACTAAACAACTTGAACTAAACAACACAATAACAACAAAAACCACCACCAGTACCAAAATCACATCTTCATTTAAGAGGAGAGATTAATTTAATAATTTCAGTCTCATGAAAACCATTTACCTGGTTCTTTCCTAAAAGCTCTTCAGAAATTATCACAGAAGATCCTATAGGCTAGGAAAGTGGATGGACTGTTCCCTGCAGTTGTCTTTCCCAACATCTTTTTCACTGCTGTTTTGACAGCTGCCGTTTGTCACCATGCAAGGAGCAATCCTGTTTTTCCCTGTCATGTTGGATGTAGATACCTACATGTACAGAACACTGTGATTGTTGCATGTGTAACAAATCATGCAACAAGCATATGCTTGACCATAACCTTTGCTGGGTTTTATAAAGAGACCAGAGCTGTTAGCAAAGAGAACATTGTCACACTGTAGGAGCAAGTCTTCCCTTCTGTCACACAACAGAGGCACAGTCATATGATGAAATATGTGCCTGTGTGCATAATGGCATGATGAAACATTTGTTAGCAATCTTTGACACAGCAATCTGCAAGCCTAAAGTACACCCTACCAAAAATGTCCTCATTTAATATGTTCAATTCTTTAGCCGTTTTGTAAGAAAGTGTTGAAGTCTTATTTGAACAGCTGAAGCGAGTCAATACTACGCAGAATATCAACTCAAACTAGTTTATTCATCAGTGTTGTGGTACAAAGGAGTTTTCTGCTACTTCTTTGGGTTTGCCTTTCCATAGCTGTGATTCAGTTTGAATTTTCTTTCACACTCACCATAAGGACAGAAAGGGCTTACTCTGAAGATATTACTGGCATCAGCAATATTTTCAAATTAGAAACTATATAGATGACTTTTTTAGTCTAATACTTTCTCTAGCTGTCACTTTACTGACAAAATTAACATAAATAATACAATTTTATCAGGATTATTAAATAATAAGGACAAATAATGAGAAAATAATAAGCAGAAAATTGTAGTCAGCATTACCACAATCAGCATACATACTGAAGGAAGAAACAGTTTGAGGCTATGCTTATTTCTGATACTTCGAGGTAGATATCTGTATAGTTTATGAGGCATTTTGGCATGGATCTCTTGTGATATGTTCATCAACTCTTCTTTCCAAAATGACTTTGTGGCTTCTGGAAGCTCTGTGGTCTTCCCACTGTTCTCACCTCTTATGTTAGATGCTTTCTTGTACAATAGTTAAGATATTAAGATGGTGACTTACCCAAAATGGAAATTTAAAATGAAAAGAAGAGGCAAAATTGATTATTTACTGAAAGTTTTCTGATGCTTCTAGATTTTGTTGGGAATAACAAGAGAATTTGTTGGATAATGAAGCATTCCTGTTGTCTTCTCTGAAAAAAGGGTTTTTGTCCACTGAAAAATCTGATTATTCATCTTGGGATATAATGGGCAGAGAAAAAAAGTTAGATCTGTTTACTGGTGTCTTTATCTTTTGTGTAAAGGCTTGCTTATTCCATGCTTGTGCATTCAAATGTCCATCTCAGTTGCGTGGACTAGTAAGTAACTACACATGATGGCATATTTACCCACACAGTTTATTCACTAGATGAGAGCTTTAATTGTTACGTATGACTTTATTTGCATCATTAAATTTTTGTATGCTATAAAGGAGAGCTATTGAATGAAAAAATACTATTTTGATTAAGCAAAATAAAATATATTTTTGAAAATGATTTTCATCATGTAGTATATTGCATCTAAATCTTTATATCAGTCTACATGTTGGTATTCTTTCTTTCCAAGGTAACAACTATATAATCCATCGCAACAGCACTGAAGTGGAGATCAGCCGAGTGGCAAATCGAATCCTAGATGAACTAGTTCGACCCTTCCAGGAAATTCAGATAGATGACAATGAGTATGCTTGCTTGAAAGCCATTGTGTTTTTTGATCCAGGTACATTCCTGAAAATATATATCAGAATTATTGTTAATTATTGATTTTGTTCAGATTACATTTTAAGTGATTTTTGTTGATATAGCATGTGCTCATGATATCTAGCTGGAAGGAAAAGAACAAAATGGAAAAAAAAAAAAGTAAGGCACTCCAACCAAATAAAAATTTACCTTGATTGTATGCTTTTGTCATTTTTCAGATGCGAAAGGCCTGAGTAATCCAATGAAGATTAAGAACATGCGGTACCAAGTCCAAATCAGTTTAGAGGATTATATCAATGACCGTCAGTATGACTCCCGAGGAAGATTTGGAGAGCTTTTGCTTTTACTGCCTACACTCCAGAGTATCACTTGGCAAATGATTGAGCAAATACAACTGGTTAAACTATTTGGAATTGTTAAAATTGACAGTTTGCTTCAGGAAATGTTACTGGGAGGTAAATTAACAACATCTCAAACTTACCATGCTGTATTCTGTTGAATTTAGCACACTGAGATGCTGAGAGAATCATGATGTAAGCAAGTACTTTGACCAGTACCACACTAACTGAGCTTCAAGTCATATAATCGTTAGCTAAATGCTTGTCCTGTCTGCTCATCTTGTTCCCTCAGTCCTACAGCCTCAGATTGTGCTTTGTACTTCATAGTCTTTTCTGGATTTTTAGACACAGAATTCCCGTGACAGATTATAGAATTCTTACAAATATTTCAAGAAGTCCGCTGTTAATGCAATCAAAACAGTGCAAATAAATACAGTGCTTAATGTGGTTGAAATCTGGTTAAATTGTTTAATGAATACCCAGAGGCAATTATTCAAATTGCCAATCAAAATATTTGCTCTGCAGAAATGTAATTATTTCAGTATAAATTGCTGGCAACAATCTGTTCTTCTAAACTGATATACGCTCTTGTTATTTTTGCAGGTACTTCTAATGATACCAGTCATTTACATCATCCAGTACATCCTCACTTAGCCCAAGATCCATTAACTGGCCAAACCATCCTCATAAGTTCAATGTCTGCTCCTGTACATGCAGAACAGATTTGTAAGTAATTTCAAGTTAGCGATCCATCATAACATTTCAGTCTTACAGTTTAACATATTAATTAAAATGGTGGCCTGTCAGTGCTTATAGAGTTATTTCATAAAGAATAAAATAATTGTGCATTAAAAACATGTTTGTTAACATGTGATAACTAAGAGTCTTTGACTTGAATTTAATCTAATTTTAACAGTTTAGCACCATTCTGATACATCGTTGGTTTTATGTGCACAATTTCCGATGAACTGAAATCTGCAATAATGTCCTATTTGCCTAGTATGACAAACGTAGAAGAACTGTATTTGGGGTCAGTAGTATGTATATATGTGTGCAGAATTGGACAGAATATAAAAAAGTGCAATTCTTTCTGAATTCTTTTTCAGCAACACCAGAGACTCCATTACCTTCTCCTCCTCAAGGCTCTGGACAAGAATACAAAATGTCTTCAAATCAGGCTTCAGTAATTGCACAGCAGTCTATTTTGAAACAAAAATCATTGTGATAATATTTCTTGGTCTTGCTCTTCCTACCTTCCTTATTTCCCCCATTCTTTCCCTTCAGTCCTCCCTCCTTCCATTCCTACTTCCTTTTTATGCACTAGATAATTTGGTAGGAAACTTGCACATTTAAAATCTCAGGATGATAAAGGAGTTTATTTCCCCAGCAGCCACTACTGTGGGTGTTTCTTGAAACCCTTTATGATTTGGAAAGTAATACTCAATGTTCTGACTGCTATGCAGACTGTAACTCTGGACACTGCAGTCTGATAAAAATATATAAAGGTTGATGTTATTTTTAGATCTTTTAAATGCACAGATTCATTTTTTTTTTTAATTTTCTGTTTTAGTTGTCATCTTTATATTATTGTTTTAGTTGTGTACATAACTTTTTTTTTCGTTGTGACTGAACTGTCTAGGGATTGTTTACCTGTGAATTGTAGGCATGAAAAAGTGCATTAGTCAAACCAAAGCCAAGATTCCAAAAACAAAGCACATATACTGAATAAAAACGAGGAAATACTGAATGGATAGAAGTATTCAGTACGTTTTCAAAAATACTGATTTGAAAGAAGCATCTCTTTCAAGTAAAATTTCAACAAAAGAGTTGAATCCTCCATGCAGCGAATTTGTATGAATCAGAGGGAGGGCTTGCCATGTGCGAAGATGTTTGAGAACTCTTTGAAATCTACATACACAGTAATGTCTATATTACTCAACGAGACAGTACCTAGGCATGGATGTATAGACACCAGAGTGCTATCATTTATATTACTAAAGAGTTAAAAAGGGGTCTGAATTTTTTATGGTCAGGACTGTTTCTCTCCCAGACAATTTCTCAGGGCATTTTGGGAATTAGGCCTGTCTAGGGACACTTTTTACTGTGCACTTGCAATATTGCCGTTTTTCTTTATGGTGAATAACTGTAGAAACGTGTCCAGGCCATGTCAGTTGACCTCAAGACTGGAGAATATAGACTTTGTACTGTTTAACTTACTAATGTAAATGTAGCCATTGTGTTATTTGTCTGACTGTCTGGTGAGTGCATGGCAATCACTCTAAACTTTACCTACAGAATAACTGTATCAGAGCTGCTCTGAAAGTAATGCCTCCTATTTTATTATGCTGTGTCACAACAGCAGAGGTGGATGTTGGCAGTGTGGCAGTAGAGATCAAACCTTACCACTAATAATCCATTGTGTTTTGTTGCCATGTGATGGATATCAGTGGAGAGGCAGTCTGATATGTCTGGCGTGGAAGCGTGTGTGAAGCAAAAGTATGGAACTGAATTCCTTCATGTGGAAAAAATAGCACTTATTGACATTCATCAACACTTGCTTAATGTTTATGGAAGCCAAACAGCGGTTTTGAATGCAGGGATGCAATGTGTGCATTTCAGCACTGGTGAAAGCAGTGACAGTTTTCTGGACCACCTGATGTCACTACTATGAGCCTGAGTCAAAATGGCAGTCCATGGAGTAGACACATGAAATTCTTTACAGAGGAAAAAGTTCAAGATTCAGCCTTCAGCAGGAAAGGTGATGTGCACTATCTTTTGGGACAAAAACGGGGTGATTCTTCTGGATTTCCTGGAACCTGGACAAACCATCAACTCTGACAGCTACATCATGAGACTGACTAAGTCGAAGGTTCAAACTTCCAGAGTCAGACCACAGAAGAAGACAGCCTTTCTCCTGCAACACAGTGCCAGGCCCTTTACCAGTTTGAACATCATGGAAAACATAACCAATCTGGGCAGCACTGTCATATCACACCCACCATATAGTCTAGATTTGGTGACTTTTGACTTCCATCTATTTGGGCTGATGAAACATGGACTACATAGCCAACATTTTTCTATCAACAGTGTCAAGAAACTGTGAAACAGTGGATTACCTCCAGTGGTGCATATATTTATGGGTGCGGCATGCAGGCTCATGTTCATCGCTGGCAAAAATGCATAGCTAAAGCTGGTGACTGTTGAAAAATAGCATTTTGTAGCTGAGAATTTGGTCTATCAATGTTTTTGTACTCCTGTTGTAGTTTCCATGAAATAAATAGGAGGCATTGCTTTCAGAAAGAACTACATATTTATATTGTAGACCTATGTCTGAAGACAGATGATTTGCTAACTAAAGTGATAGACATGCCTGAATTCCACTCCAAATGTTCCTCATTTGAGCCATGGTATTTCAAGCTATGAAGATAACCAGCACACCATGTACTTTCCATTTGGATTTTCAGGTGTTTGGTATGAATTGACTTACTGTGATGAGTCCCCCTTGACTCCTCTTCCTTCTTTCCCAGTTTTGAAGAATCCAGAATTGATTGAAATTTTCCTTCTGGAGTCTATATTAACTGATCTAGATATAGACCCTCTGTCAGTTTGCACAAAGGGGCTGTTGTGACACATGCTCACATGGGCATATATTCATTAAGAATTTTTGAAAATTATCTCTTATAAAACATGAAGTGATTATTTTGTTCATACAGTAGTGATATCGTAAGAAAATTGCCACTTTGCACATTTTATTTATTCCAGACAGCAATGCCTTTCTTTACTTCAAATTAGGTGTTTGTTTGTTTGTTTTTCCCCCCAGAAGCTATATACAAAGTAAACAGAAAAAATATTTGCAGTTTGCTGAACCATGGCAAAGATAAAATACAATGGGGTCAGAAATTCTGCAAGGTGAGATGTTGTTCATCCTGAATCAGACATTTGCCTTAATCACAGCATCCAAAGATGGTATAATTAAACCACTGGCCTTTAAAGTTACTTTGCATACTTTTTTTTTTTTTTTTTTTTTTTTTTTTTGTAGGCAGAAAATACACAGTAAATATTGAGCTGACCTAAACATTTAAAGGGCTTTAATGAAAATACATTTACCACAAGGTAGATGCTGTGTTTCTTCTTGTTATTTTGAAGCAGTTGCTTTTGTACTTAGATCTGCATACAATAGCTCTTAAAGTTTACCTTTTGCTTTATAGAATGCGTTTTTCTTTTTGCTGGTTACTGGTTGTTGTTGGTTTTTTTGTTTTTGTTTTTGTTTTGTTTTGTTTTTTTGCTTGTTTTTTATCAATTCATTGCTCTTTTTACTAGACCCTTTTAGTGAGACTTTTTATGACAGAATAAAGTATTAAAGTTTTGCCATTAACTTTAGGGGTATCAGAACTGTGCTGTTTCTCCATGTAGTCCACCAGCTTTCTCACTTTGTGAGAAAAAGGATAAAGCATACATGAGACACCCAAATGTTGACTGAGGTCACTTTTGTGACCCTCTCAGAAAGTGAATGTTTGGCTGTGGCTGGATATGTGTGACTTTTCTGGGCGAGATTAAACAAGCCAGTTTTGTGAATGTGACAGGATCGGTCTGACTAAATAAAAGTAACTTGAAATATAAAATGGCCCCCATGTTAGGACACCCTGCCTTATATAAGCAATTAACGTAATAACATAATGGGTTTAGTTTTCACACTGTTGTTTAGATATTAAATGTACAATAACATGGTTTCACACACTGCCAAAATGTACTGGATGAAAAGCATACTTTAGTATTTTATCTTACTAAAAGATGTTATCTATTTTGTACAATATATTACATTTTTGAATAAGATGAACACCACTGTAATTTATTGGGAAAAGCTGATTTATTTTATAACTGTAACATTATTTTTGTAAGCTTAATTATTCAAAATCAAAAATGATTAGCTTTGTTAAATATTAAATTATAATAACATGTAACTTTATATGTTTGAACTCTGATACCAAGTTTTTGTGTTGAGCATTTGGAATTGAAATGGTTTCTGGAAATATTTCAAATGGACTGTTTTTCATCAAAATTCAATAAAGAAAAATGAATGATCCAAATGACACGTTTGCCTTTGTTAATTATTATTATTATTATTTTACTATTTACATAAACATTGATGACACTTTCTATTGCTTATCTTATGAATAGGCATAAAACTGTAACATGCTTTCATCTGTACAGTTTCACAGAATCACAAAATGGTTGAGATTGCAGGGAACTCTGGAGGTCATCTGGTCCAACTCTCTTGTTCAGGCAGGATATTGAAATCATATGAAAGAATATAATGGCAACATTTTAGTTGATTCTCCTGTAACATGACAAAGTATTACATAGGTATGTTTTTCAGTTTTTAATTCTGCCTCAGAAAAAAAAAATGAAGCATGTGCTTAATGCCATCTGTATTTAAAATGAAGCATATGTTCAACAGCATTTTCTCTTTTTTTCTGGGCAGGGATAACTTAATAAATCACTCCCTTTTGTTTCTTAGAGCATTGCTACTTAGGCTAATGTAGTTACAGCTATTCTATTTACTTTCTAGGTAAATACATTTAAAACTCAAACTGATTTTTTAATATAGACCTTTTTATATAAGCAGTATCTCCTAAGTTTTGAAAAGTATTTTTACTGTGTATAGATTTTCCGTAGAAGTAGATTTGAGGAATTTTTGGAAGGTAGGAAAGAGGGAAATAACACAATAAATTGGGGTAATTGCTTTTGCTCAAATACCTTCTACTTCTTTTGAGCTTCTGGACAAATCTTTCACGGGAGGAAGAAGAAACTGCGCTTATGAATGCTGGAGGTCTCCAGGTCCCATTGAGAATGATATGTTTCTGGCTGATTACTCTAGATAAAGGGTTTATGTGCTTTTTACTCATAAATGCTAAGTTGAATGGAAAAAAATATATATACGATTTTAAACAGTAGAAGAGATTTTCTTTCAGCCTACAGTGGAGCCTAAATCTTCAATGACACGAAGTGCTGATAGACAGACCCTTCTTTAAGGATTTCCATAAATGAAGTTTAGAAACAACCTCAAGAAGTGAATCAGGAGCATATATTTTGCAGAAAGAGGTGGACATACTAGTTTTCAGGTCAAATCACTGTATAGCATTTCTCCCAGTTAAGGAGTTCCGAATATGGTTGAAGGTATTTATTGAATTTCAGAAACCTTCTGTGACAGAAAATTTGATGTTTCCAGAATAAAAAAATAAAATCCATTACAGCTCTCATTTACTATTTTTCTACTTAGCAGTCCTGTTTTCATTTAAAGATCTGTGCCAGTCCATGACAGTCTAAAACATGTCTTTCCAAGACACAATTTCTAATTATGTACCTCCAATCTTTGTGTTATTTATGGAATCATAAAATGGCTTGGGTAGAAAGGAACCTTAAAGATCATCTGGTTCCAGCTCCCCTGCCATGAGCAGGGCTGCCATCTGCTAGATGAGGCTACCCAAAGCCCCATCTAACTTGGCCTTGAACATCTCCAGGCACAGGGCATCCACAGCTTCTCAGCACAAACTTTCAGTGCTTCACTGCTTTCATAGCAGTAAATTTCTTCCTGATACATAATCTAAATCTACCTTCTTTTGGTTTTAAACTGTCATCTCTTTTCTGGTCACTACAATACCTGATAAAGTGTGTTTCCCCATCTTTCCTCTAAGTCCCCTTCAAATATTTGAAGGCTACAAGGAGGTTTCTCCTGCAGAAGCTGGCAGCCCTTGACTTGGACAGGTACACTCTTGGTTGGATAAAGAACTGGCTGGAGGGCTGGGCTCAGAGAGTGGTAGTGAATGGAGCTAAGTCCAGCCGGCGACCAGTCATGGGTGGTATTCCCCAGAGGTCAGTGCTAGGGCCTGTCCTCTTCAATATCTTCATTGATGACTTGGATGAGGGCACTGAGTGCAACCTCAATTTTCTGACACCAAGTTGGCTGGAAGTGTCTATCTGGCTGGGGGTAGCGAGACCCTACAGAGGGATCTGGACAGGCTGGATGGCTGGGCTGAAGCCAACGGGATGAGTTTCAACAAGGCCAAATGCTGGGTGCCACACTTTGGCCACAACCCCAGGCAATGCTACAGGCTTGGGGCAGAGTGGCTGGAAGACTGCATAGAGGAAATGGACCTTGGTGGTATTGATTGATGCTCGGTTGGACATGAGCCAGCAGTGTGCCCGGGTGGCCAAGAAGGTCAGTGGCATCCTGACTTGCATCAGGAACGGTGTTGCCAGCAGGAACAGGGCAGTGATTGTCCCCCTGTACTCAGCTCTGGTAAGGCTGCACCTTGAGTACTGTGTTCAGTTTCGGGCCCCTCACTGCAAGAAAGACACTGAGGCCCTGGACTGGGTTCAAAGAAGGGCAACAAGACTGGTGAGGGGTCTGGAGCACAGGCCTTATGAGGAGCGGCTGAAGGAGCTGGGAATGTTCAGTCTGAAGAAGAGGAGGCTCAGGGGAGACCTTATTGCTCTCTACAACTACCTGAAGGGAGGTTGTGGTGAGCTGGGGGTCGGCCTCTTCTCTTGCGTAACTGGTGATAGAACTAGGGGGCTTCAAGATGCACCAGGGAACATTTAAGCTGGACATTAGGAAATACTACTTCTATGAAAGAGTGGTCAGGCACTGGAATGGGCTGCCCAGGGAGGTGGTGGATTTACCGACCCTGGAGGTGTTCAAGGAACATTTGGACGTTGTGCTGAGGGACATGGTTTGGTGAGGACTATTGGTGATAGGTGGACTGGATGATCTTGTAGGTCTTTTCCAACGTTGGTATTTCTGTGATTCTGTGATTCTGTGAAGTCTCCCAAAAACTTATCTACTCTAGACTAAATAACCTCAGCTCTCACCCTTCTTCATAGGAGAGATATTCCTCTGTTCATCTTTTTCTCCCTCCTCTAGCTCTGCTCCAACAAGTTCATGTCTTATGCTACATGCCCCAGAGCTGAATACAATACTCCAGATGGTTTCTCACAGAACAGAATATACATGGAAAACAAATTTATAAAGCCACATTTTCAATTAATTCTTTCATAAATCTGTGCTGTTTTGCAAATGTATATTTTTTTTTATATTTTCCCTGATGTAGAGCCAGTAGATTTCTTCTTTCCCTTTATATCCCAAACAAAGAATAAACTACTTTTTCTAAACCTTTAAGTCATTGTGCTAACAGGTTTCTTCCTCTTCTGTCTGGTTTGTAATACAAAAAGAAAGGAGACATAGTCTTGATCAAGGCTAGTGTTGATCATTACTTCCTTCTGGTTCCTTATTCTTTTGTGATAAATCCAAGTATTCCAATTAATCATGATGTCTATTTGGAAACGTCTAAAAATTGAAAATTTAAGCTTGAATACAAAGAAGATTAAGGAAAAATAACTTCAAAATTTCTTCCATACAAAAAAAAAATAATAATAATTAAAAATAAAAATTAAAATACATACTTGATTTCCAATCAAAATTATAAATATTTATGATAGAGTAAGAAAATAAAAGAGGAGTGTAATATAAACACCTATGCAATGAAAGAGACTTGCAGTCTTTTCTTACAAGATGGAAGGAGGTAAATCATTCTCGTTCAATGTCATCGTATCTAAATAGCTTCTGAAGAAGATGAGATCATCTAATCAAGATGAGAGAACAAAAGTTACATCTAAAAAGCGTTCTGACAACGATTATCTCTGTTCCTTAAAGTTGCTGAGGAGCTATAATTGCTACTGAACACTATTTGGCAGTTCATCCCAACTAAGAATCAGTCAAAGGTATCGCATTAGCACTAGACTTACTGGCAGTGATGACAGGGTTGTCAGCTCCTCACTCACACTGCTGTACAGGTCACACCACAGCAATATGGCCTATCACCAGCACATCACTCTTCATTGCAACCACTGATAATTCTGGGCCTTTCTACTTGCAACAGTGATTATCATTGGTATCTTAACAGAGAGAGGTGTTCTCCATAGGGAAAACAGCAGGAAGTGCTGTTGAAGATTTCACTTTAAGCAGTCTGATCTAGGGATGGTTCCATCTGAAGTGTAGGCACTGTGCTCTGAGTTTAGAGATGAAAGCCTAGATATCCACATTAAAAAAAAACAAAAAAAACCTGAATAACCCTGGTTGGTCTCTGTAATAAATTTTATTATAACAAGAAAGTGCTCTGAATAGTTGAGAACATTGTGTTTTATAAGGCTCAGCAGCTCTGTGGGATTTGGCCACACACAAAAAAAACTCTTCCGCTGTTTTGTTAGCGAGTAACACTAAGAAGCACTTGCTGTTTCAGATTTAGAATCCCAGATTTCCAATTCATGGAAATGTAGTGAGAAAGACTGCATGGGCAGATGTGTCTCTGGAAGTGAAAAAAAGCCTCACAAAGTTAAAAAAAAGATCATGATTGGTTGAAGAAAAATATTTTAAAAGAATACATAATGTGTACTACAGTCTTTTAAGGGAATTAAGTAGAACAAGGAAGGAAATAAGGTCTGGATAAATCTGGTACCATCATCAATTCCATGAAGACATGAAAACCTCTAGAGTGAAAGTAAGAAATTACACAACCTTGCTGAGGAACGTTTGTTTGTGGTCTAAGCTTTTGCTTTTTCATTTCAAACATAGGGTTTAAGTTGGTACAGCTGATTAGTTTACATTTATTTTTATTGAGCAGGTCCTGGTGCATAACCTTGCAGCTTACCATGTCTTCTCATGCACTCAGACAGAATGCTGGCTGTCATTGGGGCTGCTGTGCAGGGAGGCCTGAGTTCATACTGCATCCCTGCTCAAGTACCCTGCCTCTAAGTATTATTTAAAAGCGTTTCTTGTCACTGGGCACTAGCACCATGGAAATGAAATGGCACTCTTCATATAGTCTATGGCAGTGTTTTCTGTCACCATTCCATTCATCATAGGGGCACAGTAGTGGCACAGTTGAATCT